ACCCAGGCATCCCATGGTTCTTGATTTTCTGTATGAAATCTGGCAACGTTTTTGTAATTATATTGTTCCTTTCCACATTTTGAATCTCCTCAAACCTTTCATATTCTCCCTAAAAACCCCACCTCTCCTAACCTAAGCGTGAAACATGTTCATTTTTGTTTCCTGAATACTTCCTATTTTCTGAATATTTCCTATTTTCTATTTTTTAAAAAGTTATATGTGCATATTCTGTAAAGTAGCCCACAATTGTGGATTTGTGAAGACTCTCTTCAGCTGCCCTCTCCATTTTATTTCTGAGGAGCACCCACCTTAAATTTTTTTGGTGGATTTTCTCTGTGTGTGTGTGTTTATCTCCATATTTCAAAATAGCATGTTTATAATGATATTTCTTGATTTTATATATTTGTCTCCTTCTCTCTCTTCCTTCCTTCCTTCCTTTTTTTGGTATTGGGCATTATTAATTACTTTCAACAGAGATTTAGCTTTATCTTCTCCTCTACCACACATTCACAAATTTCAAATCTCCTTATCCTTCTAATTTGGTTATTTTCTGTTTTAGTTAGATCAGCATTCCTGGTAAAAGGTATAAGGTGCATGTATTTATTTCTTTATTTATAAAATGTATTTACATATTTATTTATAAAATTTAAATTCAATTAAATAACACCTAATGCAGTTCCCGAGAGAGAGAAGTGTTCAGTGATTCATCAGGTGCATATAACACCCAGTGCTCATCACATCAAAAAAAGTGCCCTCCTTAATGCCTGTTACCCCATTATCCCATCCCTCCTTCCCCCTCCCTTTCAGCAACCCTCAATTTGTTTCCTATGATTGTCTCTTATGGTTTGTCTCCATGATTTCATCTTGTTTTATATTTCCCTCCCTTCCCCTATGCTTCTATGTTTTGTTTCTTAAATTCCTCATATAAGTGAGATCATATAACTTTCTCTCATTGATGTATATATAATGTGCTTTTTTTCCTTTTGATTTAAAAATTGTTTTTATTTATTCAAGAGAGACACAGAGAGAAAGGCAGAGACATAGGCACAGGGAGAAGCAGGTCTCCTGGAAGAAGCCCAATGTGAGACCCAATCCCAGGATTGCTCAACCACTAACCCCAGATGCTCAACTACTAAGCCAATCAGGCACCCTATATAATGTGCATTTAAAATGTTATTTGAGGGATCCCTGGGTGGTGCAGCAGTTTGGCGCCTGCCTTTGGCCCAGGGCGCGATCCTGGAGATCCAGGATCGAATCCCACGTCGGGCTCCTGGTGCATGGAGCCTGCTTCTCCCTCTGCCTGTGTCTCTGCCTCTCTCTCTCTCTCTCTGTGACTATCATAAAAAATAAAATAAAATAAAATAAATAAAATAAAATAAATAAATGTTATCAAAAATAAAATAAAATGTTATTTGAGTGTATTCAATTCTGCAATAGAGGGAAAAAAGAAATGGGATGGATGATACCCTTAAGGTAGCAGCTTATGAGACAAAGATGAAACTCATAGTTAAGTGTGGATGCTCACTAAATAACTAGCACATGAAATATAGGCAGATTTCATTATGTGTGTTTAAACATACAGTAGGTTATAAAATATATATCCAGTAAGTAAAATAGTAATCAATATTACAAGGGGCACCTGGGTGGCTCAGTGGTTGAGCATCTACCCTTGGCTTAGGTTGTGTATCCGGGATCTTGGGGTCCTGGTCCTGGAATTGAGTCCTGGATCAGGGTCCTGCTTCTCCCTCTGCCTGTGTCTCTGCCTCTTTCTATGTGTGTCTCTCATGAATAAATAAATCTTAAAAAAAGTTATTACTTACAGAAAGAAAAGGATGGAAAAAACAAGGCACAATCATATCACCTGTGAGTGACAACTATGTCAACGGTCAGTAAGGCATTAGTGGTACCCACTATTATCTCATTGTGGGACCACATAGGCTCTGCCCTTGAAATGCAAACAAAATTCATGATTGCTCACCGGGCTAATTGGCCAGCTACAGCTATGGCCACTGGTGGAAACAGGGTGCGTTCTTAGTACCTGGCACTCTCTGTTTAGGGGCTCTTTCCTCAAACCTCAGCTTTGGTTCTCATGACAACCCCATCAAAGGTGAAGGATGAAGCAGTCAAGAAACAAACATATATAAACAGTGTGTGAGGAAGGAAGAAGCTTTCCTGACCCTGTTAAGGTCTCTGACTGGGTCTAAAAATTAAACTGACAAAGGCAGATTAGCAAGGGAAAAGCATACACATTCACTCAGTATAAATTTTACTTACAGCAGCCTTCATAAGGAAACAAAGACCCGAACCAGTGGGTAAGCTGAATCTTTTTATGCTAGATTTGATGAAGAGTGCACAGTCATGGGTTAAGGAGTATGAGGTAATTGTAGTGAAAGGGGAAACTTAGCAAGGCCTGTTCATTTCGGTTCTTAAAACACACAAACAAACAAAAAACATTATTTAGGGGTACCTGGGGTGCTCAGGTCATGATCCCAGGGTCTTGGGATTGAGTCCCACATTGGGCTACCTGCTTGGTGGGGAGCCTACTTCTCCCTCTCCCTCTTCTGATCCCCATGCTTGTGCTCTCTCTCAAATAAATAAATAAAACCTTAAAAATTGTATTTATTTATATGAGAGAGAATGCTGGGTGTGGGGCAGGGAAGGGGTAGAGGAGAGAATCTCAAGCAGACTCTGCAGCACAAGCCTGATGTGGAGCTTGGTCCCAGGACCCTGAGATCATGACTTGAGCCAAAACCAAGTGTCAGACACATAACCCACTGAGCCACTCAGGTGCCCCTTCATTTGGATTCTTATCAGTGTCCCTCTGTCTTGGAGATGAGGATGTTGGTTTCTTGCAGGTATGGGAAGGGCACCTCTCAGCTTAAAATATTTGATCAGCCAACATGTCATATTTTAGGGGACTATGTATTGAAGTCTATCGACTGCATATCCCTTAGCTTGGGAACTAAGATCCGTGTCGACTGTATCCTATTTCCCGAAAAAACAAAATTCAGTGGAATCAATTTTAAAGATCATAATGGCTTTATTCAATAATTCACGAATTGGGCAACATCCAATCTAGCAGGTAGAAAGGAATTCTAAAGTGGTAAACAAGAAAAGAGATTTTATAGGCAGAAGGGAGTAGGAGTAAGGAAGTGGTACTGGGTGAAAAAGTAGATTGGTTAATACAAGGGGACTTTCCTGTAGGGAATGGCAGAGGTCTACTGGCAGATTCCCTAACTCGCCAATCAGGAGACTCCTGGCTTCAGATTTCACTTCTGGGAGAGCCAAAACTAATTACATTCAGCATCAATTTGGTGATATGGAGCGTAGCAGGAACAACTCCATTTTGAGCCTGTTATCTGGTTTTTAACATTCTGAATCCATTTGTTTACCTCATCACTTGCTTTTTGCTGTGCACCTTAAATTGAAATATAGTGAGATAGGAGCTTTTTCTTTTTTTAAGATTTTATTTATTTATTCATGAGAGACACAGAGAGAGGCAAAGAGAGAAGTAGGCTCCAAGCATGTGGCCTGACATGGGACTCAATCCCAGGTCTCCAGGATCACACCCTGGGATAAACACGGCACTAAACTACTGAGCCACCCGGGCTGCCCTGCCTGATAGGAGCTTTTTAATGTGGTTGGTTGGTGAGCCTTTCTGTTTCATGACCTTAAGAGTACTTACCTGGTAGTGTTCTTGTATCCAGTTCATTTCCCACAAGACAAAGGAATCTCTCCTGGTGGTGACATTTTTGAGTATCCGAGAATGTTCCATACATGCTCAATACTTTGACTATATACAGAATTCCAGGTTGGAAAGCATTTTCCTTCAGAAGTTGGAAGGTTTTTCTCCACTATCCTCTAACATTCAGTGTTGTTGGGGAATTTGAAGCCATTATATTCCGAATCTTAAAATTCTCACCTTTTCTTTTTTTTTAAGATTTTATTTTTTTATTCATGAGACATACAGTGAGACAGAGACTTAGGCAGAGGGAGAAGCAGGCTCCCTGAGGAGAGCCCGATGTAGGGCTTGATTCAGGACCCTGGGATCACTCCCTGAGCTGAAAGCAGACGTTCGATCATTAAGCCACCCAGGCGTCCCTTAAAATTCTCGTTTTCTTATATTTGCTCTATTTTACATGTTTATGGTTCTGCTTTACTTTATTAAGGGGATATCTTTGATTTTATCTTTAAACCATTTTTTTGTTGTTGTTTCTATTTTTTTAAAGGAAAATCTTTTTTTTTAATTTTTATTTATTTATGATAGTCACACACACACGAGAGAGAGAGAGAGAGAGAGAGAGAGAGGCAGAGACACAGGCAGAGGGAGAAGCAGGCTCCATGCACTGGGAGCCCGACATGGGATTCAATCCCGGGTCTCCAGGATCGCGCCCTGGGCCAAAGGCAGGCGCACTATAACTCTTTAAAGCCCAGTCCACAAACCTGTAACCATCTCCAGAGGTAGTTCGAGAAAAACTGATTTTTGAGGCAGCCCTTGGGAGACACAAGCACCGAGGCTCTTTTACAATTTTCCAGCCTACGTGACAGAGAGTATGATTGTTTTGATGCAAAGCAGATGAAGAATTACCCTATTAGTCCACTAATACTACTACGCCCACTCACCCTATCCCTTAACCATTAGCATTTACATTAAAATAGACTGGCTGATTGGCTTATCTTTCGGTTTTTTTTAATTTTTTTAAATTTTTATTTATTTATGAGAGTCACAGAGGGAGAGAGAGAGAGAGGCGCAGAGACATAGGCAGAGGGAGAAGCAGGCTCCATGTACCGGGAGCCAATGTGGGATTCGATCCTGGGTCTCCAGGATTGCGCCCTGGGCCAAAGGCAGGCGCCAAACCGCTGCGCCACCCAGGGATCCCTTATCTTTCGTTTTAAGAGGAAACCCGACCGAAACTTTGAGGTTTGTTCTTCCTCTTGCCACGCCAGGCTTTGTTGGAATTTGGATTTTTTTCTTGCTCTTTCTGGGCTCTAAAGTTCTTCCCAGGCTAGCAAGTTTGAGTCTTGAGCATCACCTCCCACTGGCACCCGAAGATCCAGGAGCTTCAGTCCACAACTAGGGTTTCAATGGATTCACCAAAGCAGCTGCACCCAGCCTGGGCCCCGGGATCATCTCAGATGTTTCCTGAAGAGCACTCTCAGGAAGGTTCAGGTAAGTCGGATGTACCCTTTATTCGAGTGAAGAGGTTGCCCTCCTTCTTAAGTTGACTTCAGTCTTAAGGAGGAATGCAGCGAAGTGAAAAACTACTTCCATCCAGGCAGGAGGGCCTAGGTCGTGTGGGTACCCCCAGTGATAAACACACAAAGGAAGACTGGGGAAGGAGTTGAGGCCTGCATTCTCTGCTTTCTACACTCAGGAACACTTAAATGTTTCCAACCAGGCTTCTGGGGAAGAGCAATCGGAGTCCTTCTAGGTCCTGGCTCAGAATGTCTGCCTATTAGCCATACGGATCAGGAATGGTAAAAAGGAACAAAATGCAAGAAACCTGAACTCCAGATTAACCTAAAGTTTTTTTCATCTCACCAAACTTCTCTGGACTGGTTTTGCAGCTGAATTTATCCTTTAGGAACGTTAATAAACAAAGAAGCGACTTTTCAGAGGAAATCCAAGGGACACACTTTAAAAAGCCAGTGAATGTGCTCTATAATGTAAATTAGTAGGACAAACTCTGGAGGGCTTTCTTAGGAACAATGCTCCAGAAATATTAACGGCGTCCTCTCCTTCTTGGGTTCTACCTGTACCAAAACTTATTTCTTGGAGCTTCACCCAATCCCAGGCTTGGCCACAGAAAACCAATGGACTTGAAACCTCACTACCCTGACTAATGGTGGGGCTGGGTGGTGGTAGGTAACCCCGAGCCAATCCTCACTGGGCAGCTAGAAAGCTGGGTGGGAAGCTTCCTGATATTTAATATTCCGGCAGCATCCCCTTCCCAATCCAGACCTGCCCACCCCACCCACCTCCTTTGAGGAAAGAATCTGGGTGGGTATATATAGGGGGAAGATTAGTGAAGAGAATATCTGTATCATTCCATCTCTGCGTTTCCTTGACTCTGCCTTAGTACCTAATGGCTCCACAACTAGGGATCTTTATTACTTGTGCACAAGTCCCTAGAAGTGAAATGGATCCTGACTCTTAATGCTTTCATCAGGAAGAATTAATGTGGGATCCCTGGATGGCGCAGCGGTTTGGCGCCTGCCTTTGGCCCGGGGCGCGATCCTGGAGACCCGGGATCGAATCCCACGTCGGGCTCCCGGTGCATGGGGCCTGCTTCTCCCTCTGCCTATGTCTCTGCCTCTCTCTCTCTCTCTGTGACTATCATAACTAAATAAAAATTAAAAAAAATAAATAAATAAAGGAAGAATTAATGTTAACTCCTTTATATGAGATACGAGTATGGGGTATGCATAATGGTTTGGATCAGAGAGGCAAGTGAGTGGCTGATCTCCCAAAACAAAGGAGTGTTTGAGTTCATAACATGAAATGGTTGGTTATAAGTGAAGAGGGTAACAGCCAGTTCAGCTTCCTAGTTCTGTATAAGGACTGTTGTATTTGGGGTTTGTCTATTTCACAGTGTGTGCCCCTGCCCCTAAGAAAATTGAAGAGGTGTGTAATTTTTTAAAGATTTTATATACATTCATGAGAGACCCACAGAGACACAGGCAGAGGGAGAAGCAGGCTCCCTGCAGGAAGCCCGATGCAGGACTCAATCCCTGGACCCGGGATCACGCCCTGAGTGGAAGGCAGATGCTCAAGTGTTGAGCTACTCAGGTATCCCAAAGAGGGGAATAATTGTTACCAAGTTGAGCTGCTGAAACTTGTTTACTGATTTTTGACTTGCATTGGTACTTTGTTGTCTGCCCCCACCTTCTATTACAAATTAACAGAAGTGAAAATGGAAAAACTGCCAATACCTGAATTTTTTTTTTGGGGGGGGTCCCATGTTATTCCAATTGGAATCATACACTTAGGTATCTTTTGTCCCTGTAGGGGAAAAATAACCTTCAGAACTACCAATAATAGGAAGGGGGTGGATTTTTTTTTTTTTAAGAACAAACTGTTTCAAAAAAAATAAAAATAAAATAAAATAAAAAATAAAAAAGAACAAACTGTTTCCCATCATAATGGATTATTTTTTTAAGGTTTTATTTATTTTTAGAGCTAGAGTGCAAGAGGGAGAGGGACAAACTGACTCCATACTGAGCACAGAGCTGGACAGGGAGCTCTATCTGTCCCAGGACCCTGAGATCATGGGATCAACACCTGAGCTGGGATCGAGAGTCAACTGCTTAGCCAACTGAGCCACCCAGGTTCCCCCATCAAAGCAGATTCTTAAGCATGTTCTCAAACCCTCTCACCATGTGCAGTGTGTTAGATGGCACAGTAGGTAACGTGCTATGTGATCTTCCACCCTGAAAAACCTCCCACTGTCCATCATTGAATCTGCTTAAGAGCAGACCTACTTGGAGCCTGAGACCAGTAACTACTGGATGATGGAATGCACCCTAATGGGTCTTTCTCTTTTCTTTCAGCAGCTGTTCAAACCATGTCCGAAGTGTTAGTAAAGAACCTTAGCAAACTGACTCTAGACCCTAGTATCAAACTCCCCTCCCCTCTACCAGAATATCCACCCCAGCAGCAGGAGAGAGAGAAGAAACCACAGGGGCTTGTTGACCGCATCCTCAGCAACAACAGGAAGAGGAGTGGAGTGAGGACTCTGTTAACTGCTAGGAAAGAAAGGATGGAGAGGATGATTCCATTGATTCAGTACCAGCGCTACGTTAACAAGCGGTCCATGGTAGGTTCCAGTGATCTAGACAGCGTTTCCCCATGGGGGCGGGGGTGGGGGAGTGGAGGTGCACAAGCAATTAAGAATGATGAGCAGCAGTCACTCAACTATCCTGGTGAGCGCAGGGTGTGAATAACACTTGGATTTTTAACATTCTCCAATTTTTATCTTCTAGTAGATGTATAATATTAGTAATGTAACTTTCAATCATTTTTTTTTCTTCCCATAAAGCTTCAAAAGGATCTACTGGAGCAGGAAATTGAGGTAAAATAAGATTTTTATTCAAATGACACATGAGAGTGGGTATCTGATTTGTATTCTAAAAGATGTTATTTATCCATGTAACAGAGGAAGACTGCATAAGCAAGGGAGTGACGGAGAGAGAGAAATGGTCTTTCCACTGAGCAGGAAGCCCGAGACGCGGGTCTCAGTCCCAGGGCCCCTGGGAACGTGACCTGAGCTGAAGGCAGACGCTTAACCAACTGAGCCACCCAGGCACCCTATTTCTTGGTTTTTCTTTTTGAGAGAAGGAAAGGTAAATTGACTTTGAATTTCTGAATATCCAGAAACTCTGGAGAAATACATTCATATTTGTAATTTTTAGTGTAGTTTGGTTAATGGCAAAATTGATCAGAAAGTCCAGCGTTCCCACATACCTCCTGAACAGGCTCCTCCACTGTGAACATTCCATGCCAGGATGATAAATTGGTAGTTGATGAACCTACACTGACATCACCTCCAGTCTATTTCTTACATTAAGGCCAACTCTTGGTGTGGTATATTTGTACTTCAAGTGCTGTCAAAAACATGGTCATGGAGGGATTCCTGGGTGGCTCTGCGGTTTGGTGCCTGCTTTCGGCCCAGGGGATGATCTGGAGTCCTGCGATTGGGTCCCACATCGGGCTCCCTTCATGGAGCCTGCTTCTCCCTCTGCCTGTGTTTCTGTCCACTGAGCCCGCCCCCCCATAAATAAATACAAAGTTTTTATTTTTTAATTTTTTTATGATAGTCACAGAGAGAGAGAGGGGCAGAGGGAGAAGCAGGCTCCATGCACCGGGAGCCCGACGTGGGTTTCGATCCCGGGTCTCCAGGATCGCGCCCCGGGCCAAAGGCAGGCGCCAAACTGCCGCGCCACCCAGGGATCCCCCAATAAAATGTTCTTAAAAAACGGGGGATCCCTGGGTGGTGTGGTGGTTTGGCACCTGCCTTTGGCCCGGGGCGCGATCCTGGAGACCCGGGATCAAAACCCACGTCGGGCTCCCGGTGCATGGAGCCTGCTTCTCCCTCTGCCTATGTCTCTGCCTCTCTTTCTAGCTCTCTCTCTGTGACTATCGTAAATAAATAAAAATTAAAAAAAAGGTCATGACAATACTCCGTAGTAAGAGGGCATACACATGAGTTCAGTGTTGAGAAGTAATCGCTCACATTTAAGACCTTCAGAGAATGACACCAGAATATATTTTTGTTGGACAATCAGCTGTTACCATCACATAATGACCCACAATATGGCATTCTTTAGTACCCACGTTTCAATCCTGCCTCATTGTCCCTAAAAAAGGTGTATTCCAAAGGCTATTCTAGGGGTGGCTCTGCTAGGTGGCTCAGTTGGTTAAGCATCTGCCTCTTGATCTCAGCTCATGTCTTTT